TTTGATGCAGTGTGGAAAAAAATGCACAGAAATCAATTAATTTTGAAGAATAACTAAATAGATTCAACATCTTTCTTCTGCAGAAGGTACCTTCCCAAAGGAAAAAGTACTATAGCTTACTAGGGTATATTTTTACATCAGATTAAAACTTTGGGTGTAAGATTCAGATAATTATTTATTAAAAGCTCGACATTTTAAATGAGAATAAGAAAGAAAAGTACCGTAATTGTCGGGCTATAAGCCGCTACTTTTTGCACAAGCTTTGAACCCTGCGGCTTTTAGTCAGGTGCGGCTTTTCTATGGATTGTCCATGATTTTTGTCATATCGTAAGACGATTTGTTTTGTTTGTTCCGCTGTTGTACGGCACTACGTTGCCTGGCGGAAGGGCATGTGATCAGACACACAGTATCGGGGTTCAAGAGTGGTATGTTGGTCACATGTCCATCCGCCAGGCAACATAGTGCCGTACAAGTAGCGCGAAAAACAAACTTCAAAGTAGCGCTACGCGTTCAGCGGGAGGCGTGGATGACGAGCGGCGATAAACTTGCGAAAAGCAAGTTATGCTCAACTCCACCGGTGGAATTCTGACAGCGTGGAAAAGTGTGAAAACATCCACGATCACCAACGGATTTCGAAGGGCTGGACTGCTGCATGATGGAGAGGAGGACACCGCCACGGCCCTTCTGAGGGTGTTCGACTCTGACACTGACAACGAGGATTTCTTTGGTTTTGAAAGTGACAACGAAGGAAAGAAGCTGAGAGTGGATGACGAAGCCATCCTGAGCCTGTTCGTATCCGACACTGGAGAGAGGACTTTGGTGGTTTTAGTGCGCAGGAAGAAGAGAAAGATGGTGAATGACTGACTTTTCTTCTTGTTAAAGCCGTGTCACTGCACCTGAGCCTAAAAGGTAGTCCGAATCTATTTTTCTGGTGTGCTGTAGGTTATTGTTATGTACTACATTTGTTACTCATTTATGAAGCACAGTACATGTTTCGTACTTGTAATTACCGCTACTTGTACATATACCTAAAAAGTTATGCAAATATGTACCCATAACTTGTTTTTCAAAATATTAATAAAAGTGATGTCTCCAAACAGCCATCTCTTTCCTGACAATTCGCTTTGTGCATATTCTCTTACATATGATAAGTCAACATTGAAACACCTGCGGCTTTTGTCAGGTGCGGCTAATGTATGTACAAAACAGGATTTTCCCCTGATTTTAGCTTGTGCGGCTAATATTCAGGTGCGCTTTGTAGTCCGGGAAATACGGTATGTCTTTGTGTCCCCTTTTCCCTGTTCATGCCCTCTCGGCCCCCCTGGCTAAACTTTGCTAGATCCGCCCCTGCACAGTTACGTCAGCTGACGTAGAAAAAGATCCTGGTGTAGAAAGTAATATTAAATAATTCTAACAACAGCTGATCAAGCTTAAACGTGCTGCTGTTGTTCAGCCGCTGGTTTCCTCTTTCTGGTGCAAAGTGGGCCAAAAACAAACAAGAGAGACGGACTCACGACAGAAAAGCCGATCAGCTGATCATTGATCAGTTTCACGATTGAAGTAGCAGCAGGAGAGAGAGAGGCAGTCGCTCCATATATCGGTTGTTAAGCTTAATGTGTGAATGCTTTACAAACAGAGATGAACTTACACACTTGCTTTACTTCTCTCTGGGATCACTTTCCTCGGAGATGAAATGCCGGTTTGGTAAGGCCTCCAAATGCTCAACCAGACCACGACAGGTCTCACAGCCACAGCCGCTCTATCACGTGAAGCACACTGCTCGACGTGCTACGGTTATGAGCCGAGTTACGCCGTGTGCAAGTTTTGTGAGGTGCTTTTTTGATATTTAATGGATCGGATTACATTTTTTATTTCTCTCCGATATCCGATCCAGTAATTTAGCGTCAGTATCGGACCGATACCGATACGTAATATCGGATCGGTCCATCTCTAATGGAAACAGGAAGAAAATGTTGCGCTTTGCCAAACTATGCTGTGGTTGCGGTTCTGTCATGGTGCAGGGCTGCATTTCAGCCAGTGTGAAGATGATCTTATCTAAACAAATGGAATTATGAAAGTGACAAAGTACAGTCAAATTTTTATCCACCACACAATCTGGACAGTGTTTAACCCTTTAAGACCTGCCATAGAACCAGGTCTTAAAGGGAGAGCTTATAGTATATTTTTACATGCTGTGGAGCCATTTTTGGGAGCATTTCAAGTTGCTATACATCAATACAACCATTATAGCCCAAATTTTAATAATATGTCTGCATTAAGTGCATAGTAATTACATAAATTGCAAAAAAGTGCAATAAACTACAAAAAAATTGAAAATCGTTTTTGTTTTTTTAACATATATTTCTAGTTAGAGAAATTTAAGAGGCTTATCCCTCAAAACTGTAAATACAAAAAAGTTGCACAAAATAGTTTCCCACCACAGGAAATTTATTTTGAGTGTCTTCATAGTTTTATTTTTGAAATACACCAATTTTTATATACTGCAGGAAAAACGAAAATAAATATTATATGCAAATTTGCAAAAAAGCAGCATATGCATCAAAATAAACTATTTCCAGCAGTGCAATATGAGTCCTAAGCATCCCAGAAACGACACAGAAAGTCATAAAGTCAAACATAACTTTTAAAAACACCAGTATAGGCTCATGAGGCCCTGATGGTAAAAAACTACATTTCCGCAAAATGACGTCACTTCCGGTTTCGGGCAGGTCATGGCGGACATGCGATAGTTCACGCTGATGGACGTAGGAAGTGTTACAAACAGCTGATCGGATCGGCAAAGCGTGTTTCTGGAATATTATGTTTTTGTTGCTGCAAGTGCTTTTTATGCAGTTTTTGCAAAGCTATATGTGGAAGGAAACTGTGACCGAGGACAAGCTGATGGCATAAGATGTAAGTACAACTCCTCCGGTTTCATATGCAAAAAAATTATTGCGCTAGCTTACGTGGTTGCAGTGCTACCGGGATTTAAAAATAGTTACAAACATCTTCCATCTATGTTTGTACATGGTTTACATGGTAACTGCAACTTTGCATCAATCACTGAGCTAATTCCCATTTCATAAGCAAAATATAAAGAAATGTATCAACATTTTTGCATAATCTCTGAGCAAACATTACTTACATATAACAACTCTTCCACTGAAAGCAGGCACTGAAAAAGACTTATTTCACTTCAGTGAGAAAGTTAATTAGCCTGGAATATTTTCATTTTCACAACACATGCTTCTCAAACCAACAATCTGAACCATGTTCACACAGAAATAAATCTCTCACACACGTCCCCATCTGAGCTTACCAGACTCTTTGAGGATGGAGCACCTCTGGTAGCAGGACGACCGGAGACTGGGAGCACGGATATTATAGAGGCGTGCCTTGTCAATACGAGTGTCAAAGACATGGAGCATAGGCTCCTTCTCCTCCCACTGAGACATGATCTTGTTGTCGATGAAGGTGGCAAACATCTGTGTCTCGATGAAGTGAGACAGAAAGGGAAGGTAGGGCTCTGGCTGGTCTGACAGGAATGAAGCCTGTTCACAAGAGCATATGTATTTTCAGTACTGTGCAGTTCAATGTCATTTATATAGCATCTTTAGTAACTTTAGATTTTAAGGTAAAGACAGCACAATATTATAGAAAAACCTCAACTATAAAACAATCCCCTACGGCAAGCACAGGGAGAAAGAGCCCACTTTCAGACAACAATTTGTTTGTAATAAACAAAGCTAGCCTTAAACCACAAATGCCAGGAAAATGTAAATATAGAATTTTAACAGAAAGGAAAACAACACAATGAAATAAATAAGTCTAATCAGCACTAAACATTGACTGAAAATATGCAGACTGATTCTTCAGTTTAAAATACTGTCCATTCTTCCATAAAATACTTTAATAGGAAACAGTAACAGGAACTAACAGGTTTCACAAACAAACAGAACAAAGAAAATAGAGTCCAAAGAGACTACGCTATCATTTCTTCCAATTATGGATGATCTCCAGCTAATTCATGATAAATCCTCTGGCTTTTCTTATGATCCACTGTCCTTCCCTTAGATATGCCCTTCTTTATTTGATTGCGCTAGCTTACGCGGTTCAGGTTCTACAGGGATTTAAAAATAGTTACGCAAAACGGAGCGTGCTGCTCTGACCGGCTTTAAAGGGTTAAGGGGCATCCAATGTACAAACAAACATCAACAAACACAGAGAAAGAGTGAGAGACAACTTTAGTCAGAAATAAAGATGAGAAAGACGGAGAGGAAGAAGAGAGGTTGGATTTAAAGGTAAGGACGGCTGAGTAACTGACAAATTTAAGACATTTTGTCTTATAGCTTGTGAAACATCTGCTTACATTTTGTTGAAATCAGTTTTGTAAATCCACACAGAGCAGCAGACCAGCTAATCACAGCCTGTACACAAAGGAAATCTACTGAAACTCACATTAGAAATGACTGTGAGCTGTGACTCTTTTCCCTGTGCTGAGCCACAGCACATGCTGTATCTCACGTTGACCCCTGACAGTACTCATGTGTGAAGTCATCCTCTTGATCCAGTAATTTGATATTTACCGGAGTATTTTTACAAGTATCTGCGCTTCTACTTAAATACAGAACGTCTGTACTTTTTCACCTCTGCCTGACCAAGAGTCAGATTTAAACTAGTCCCAAATTTCTAGGAGATGCACCTGTGACATAACTATGAAAATCCTTCATTCTCGAGTTACGGCGTTCACAAACTTGGCTGCCTTCTGACCATTGTTGATGCAGTTTCATGAATCCACAGCTTGATCAAGCCCAGTGACAGAGGCACCATACACCTACAGCACTCAAAGGATCTGCGGCCAGCATCCTGTGCCAGACCATAGACACCAACACTGGTACCCTGCCTGGTAGGACTCCTGGTCGATAGTAATTAATATTATACAGCTGGTTTTAATGTTGTGGCTGGTCTGTGCATTAACGCTACCCAGGCTGATGTTGTACCTCCTGAGGAAGCTCAAGTTTGGAGCGGTCAGTGCCCTCTTTGGACTGCAGGCCCATCAGGTAGGGAACAGGTGCATCTAGGAAATGAAGGAGGGAGGCTGGCAGGATGGGAACATAGACGTGCTGCCACTGGAAGGGAAATAGGAGGGTGGTGATGCCCTCTGCCACTGTCATCAACCGCTGGTAGTCTGAGAAACACAGAGAAAGAAGTGTGATGTGAGACAAGAGCATTACAGCAACACGTAGTTTCATGTCAGTTGTAAAATTGCACTCTGATGATCCTAAATTCACGCTAAGCTCCACCAAACACCACACAAGCACTGCTACAGTGTTTTGCAGGCTGGATCTAATATTGAGTTCAGCAGCAGTTCAATCAGATTTCATCATTATGGCCTGAGTGAAAAGTCCACTTGGAGGAAACATAACTAAGGTTTCATGAATTCATCATCCTCTCCTCTCCTATGGCCCTCTCCCCCTGGCTCAGCCAGCATCTCCCGATCTGTATGTGCACCTTCACTGAAGGTTTCCAAAGTCTTAACCACAGTCTGCGTGTCGGAGATACAGCTGGTTCACTTATCGGAAAACGTCCGTTTCTAGAAGCAGAATGTATTTACAATCGTGTTTAAATGTCTATATAAACACACACACACACACACACACACACACACACACACACACACACACACACACACACTTGGAAAAAATTATAAGCACAGCTGCTCTAGGTAAGTGTGTAAAATACATGTTAGAATAAATGTCACACACTCAAATAAAAAGTGAGGCAATAGGTCTTTTTCTTTTGTGTTGGGAGAATTAGTGATGTCTAAATTAGGGTGGTGGCCCCATGATCGGAAGGTCGGGGGTTCAATTCCCCTGAACAGCTACCCTGAGGTACCCCTGAGCAAGGTACCGTCCCTACACACTGCTCCCCGAGCGCCCAATGGCTGCCCACTGCTTCACTGAGTGAATGGGTTAAATGCAGAGAGGGATTTTCCCCACGGGAACCAATAAAGTACACCTTCTGCTAAAGAACCAATACGTGTGATTCCTCTCAAAGGCAAATTTTGGAATCTGCAATAGTACTTAATGTTTTTTTTTTACTAAGGTAAATACCACAGGCAGCAAACCAAGGGTGCAATTGTTCTGAAACTAAAGGGGGCAGCATATACACGTATTCTAGTCTATTCTTAAATAAAGAAGAAGAAGAACGGCAGCTAGGAGCACAAGAGGGAGGCAGAGCCTTCAGTTTCCAGGCCCCTCTTCTGTGGAACCAGCTTCTGCAATTCTGCAATGGCAACTGATGTTAAAGACTCATGACCAATTATCACAAAGGCTTGATTAGGTTTACAAGGAAATTACTTTTTCAAACAGCATCAAGTGGGTCAGGATCGCCTTTTTTCAGTCATTATTTAAAAAGTGCATTTTGTATTTACTTAAGCTTTGTTTAAGATTCAAATTTGTTTGATGATCTAAAACATAAAGTTGTGACAAATATGCCAAAAGAAGTAATCAGGAAGAGGGCAAACACTTTTCCCATCGTCATTAAGAACCTCCACAGGCAGAGTTACTAGAAGTTACTAAAGCTGCTACCACAGCAGACACTTGTGTATGTTAAAGCTCTCGTGGTATTCAAAGCCCCTCGTACACATCATGGTACTGGGCACTATTGGCATACGGGGCCATATGGTACGGAGTAAAATGTGGGGCTAAGTTAACATCATGCTGAGGTTTGGGCCTACTTTTTAAACTGCATTATAACACATATATGAAGATTACCTTTCATGCAAATCTAAAATAACTGCACTTAATCAAAGCACGATTTACAGGTTGGCTGTAGCTCAGGAAGTTGAGCTACTACTAATCAGAAGACTGGTGGTTTGATCCCCGTCTGCTCCAGTCTGCAGACGGGGATTGCCTTTGGCAATATTAACCCCAAGTTGCTCTCCAATCCATCCGAGGCGAGTGTTAAATTTAGGGGTGAATGAGGCATAAGGACGCATTCTTACAGTGAAAATCTGAGTAATTAATAAATGTTTTTGTGGGAAAGAGACAAGCCAGGTTTTGAAGCTCCTACCTGTAGGCGTGTGAGCATATTTTTCATATGTCTGTACATGTTCAAAGTTTCTCCTTTGTGTGGGAAACACAGCAAGCAAATCTCACAGAAACACTCCTGTTTCTTAATGTTGCAGCATGTCTCATCCTATTTGCTTTCTTTAGCTTTAAAATAACAAGTTCAGCTGTTCTACTTTAGTCATCAACACTTGCTGTTCTAATCTGACTTAAGTGGCGAGGTGCAGTATCTCATAAATTCCCTCCTCTTCCCTTTACTCACACTGACAGACTTTAAACTTGCTAACTCGAGGCACCTTCAGATATATGTTGGAAAGCCCCAGCAGTGACAGGGCTCAGGGATGCTGTTGTTGTTATAGAACTGAAAAACAAGACTAAACAGGTCGAGTCATTGTGAAACTGTAACGGTGCATTAGGGCCTGATAAAGACCAGCAGCTCAGTCTCACAAGGCAAGAAGTGAGCAAGTCTGTGGTAAACAGCTGTTACTGTCAGGAAGCAAGTTGTCATCCCATGACAAGTCAAACACGCTGATTAATCACACTGTGTGAAAACGCTGGCCGACTGCTCTGGATAAACGCATACGATGCACCTTAAACAGCAAACAGACTAACAGTTCTTGTGAAGGTCAGGACAGGAAATGACATTTGCATCAGTGCAGTGTTAGCGCACACAGGCACCTGGCTCTGTCTGATGCTTTTTAAGCAGTTCAGGCAATTTCTGTATATAGAGAATAACTGCAGACAGATTCTTAAGGTGTATCTACAAAACACCTGTGAATCTCCTGCAGTGGTCCCATCAACAGCCAGTGAGGTCAGTGGTTCCATCTTTGGCCTGTGATTGATCCACCGACCTTCTGCTGCTGGAAGTTTGAGGTCTAACTTTTAGCATCTACACATTTTTTTGAGTGGCTGCCAAAGTCAGAGACTCTGAGTAGGAATGTGAACATTATTAAACACTTTCACTGCATGTGACGAATAAAGAATCTTGACTAATCCTTCCGTTCTCTAACTGCATGTCTTTGGACTGTGAGAGGAAGCTGGAGCACGTGGAGACACACAACCTTCACACAGTAAGACCCCTGATAGTGGAATTGAACGCAGGATCTTCTTGCTGTGAGCCGACAGTGCTAACCGCCATGCCACAGTGCTTAATAATAACGGCTAGCTTAATAAAATGAACACAATCAATAACGACACGGCAGGACAGCAGCTCATTAACGTGTAGCACTGTTCCATGTTTCCCTGCCTACAGCGCCATTACATATGAAGTTGGTATATTTCTGTACGCACATCATTACTCAACTTTTTTTGATCACTCGTGTTTGTGTAATCTGTGCAGTATGTAAAAAGACGAGGAATATGCTCATTTTGAATCAGTTTTATTATTGAGTATTATTGTGGATTTTCAAAGAAAGTAATTGCAGAAACCGGCCTAATTCATGATTTCATATCCTTGATTTTAAACTTGTGGCAGAAACAAAAGTACCTATAAGCATATTAAACTTAAGCTAACATTAAATGTAGCAGTTCAACTGCAGCTTAAACACACAGGCTTTCTGGAATTTGCACTCGTGAATTTGTATTCTGTAAGAAAGTTTGTTGACCTAAATTGACTTTGACGGTAACCTCAGAACATGCTGAAACAAGGAAATCACGTTGACATATGCCAAGAATGTGATTACAGTTATAGTGTCTTCATGACTGCACAGATGAAAAGGTTTTTATTTGCCTTTAATTTGGAGCAAAAGCTTTAGTGCTTGTTAAAGTCTGACATCATTAAATCAGTCGGTTAAGCACACCGTCTTTGCAGCTATTAATGTTTTATCATATATGTCATTTGACACTTTAATATAATTTTTTTTGTAATGCAGACATTTTAAATGCAAACCTCATGTTCTCGCAGCAAATCTCCTTTGCAGAATAAATGTGACTCGGAAGGGCCACAAGAATCATCTTTACTAACAAGCTCACACTAAAATGTGTTGAAAAACCTTTTCTTTACTAAGAACAATACACAGTGAGGTGCGTGATCAGATCCAGAGAGTAAAGATGCCAGAACAATGGAACCAGACAAGATTTTACAGACAAGGATCACTGGGACAACTTTGACATCTATAGTGAGGGAGTCGAGTTTTTGGTCACTCTCATTGATGCCCACTTCAATTGCTTGCCTCAAAGTTGAGAAGTTAAATGTCCCTCTTTCAGCAGAGTTTGTTCTGTCTGGACAGATAACTCCTTACGGCATTTATCAAATTTAATCAAACGTGACTCATAAACTAAAAAAGGGTTTTCCTCTTCATTTATTTACACGAGCGATTTCTACGTGCCTACAGAGAACCTGGACCTCTTAGAGGTAGTTCCTGATGCTTGTTATGAATGCCGCCTTTAAAACTGGCGTTTTTTGATTTGGAGTTGAAGGTCTGGTGTATGAGCTAACAGCTTCTTTTTGCATGACTCATCATGCACAGAAGATAAACAAGCTGCAGAGAGAGTGCTGAAGCTGCACTGAAACTGCAAAAGAGTATGACTGAGGAATGTAGGACACATAATGATCTCAGTCTACACACTAGATTCTCTGCATTTGGCTCTAATACTCTAACACAGTGAGGAACGCACACACTGCGTCTCACTGCAGCTGTCAATAATAAATGAAAGGAATCCTAGAAGCAGGAAAATCTGATCACTGTGTATCTGAGTGTGATATGCACATAAAGCCTCATTACAGTGTTCTCTGTTTTCATCTGAGTTTTTACTGTACAAGTTTCTAATGCTTCTCCGCTTCAAAGTATAGAAAACAGGAACAGTATGTTTGAAACAAATTTTCTCCACAGACATCCACAACTTCTGGCAACCAGACAGAAAGCCTTACAATAGCTTCCAGTGGCTAAAAGGCCTCAAAGTAAGGAACGACGTCATAGCATAATAGAGTGAAGACAAAAATGTATCCACTGAAACCTCTGAAGTTGATTAATTGAATTTGATTTCATTTTTTTCTCAAATATATTTTTATTAAGGTTAACCAAACAGAATACACACACACATTAATAACAAGCACAATAAAAAAGAAAACATCGCAGAGGTTGTGAAAGGGGGAAAAAAGCATATTGCAATGAGGTCTTAGATTCTAAGAAAGAACAGAGCTAAACTTAGTTATTGTTAAGGTGGCAGTTAAATAGAGAAATATATATGTAGAAAAAATAATATAGAATAAGAATATATAAGAATAAATAAATGAATATCTACATGCAGGCTCATAGAGCAGTGATGAACTCAGGGCCTGAAGATTTGCAAATATTTCCGCAAGGACCCTCACAGCTGTTTGTATGTTTTGCTGGTATCGCTAATCAGAACAGATGTTTTCCAGGCTTAGACAGGACATCAGATCTCAGTGCGAGTGGGTCGGGACAGAAGGATGTTGAATTTATCAACTTAAATATTGAATCTCACATATCCTCAGACAGAGACATGCTTAAGTCCTGCTCACAAGCAGTTTAATGCCTGACAATCGAAGGGCCTTTAATGCCCACCAGCATGTGACAGATAGCAGATATTAACCCTTTCTGAGTTGGACGCAAAGTTAGGAACATATCTGCCGTCTTCAAAGTACCTCAGGAAAGTTCGACATCTAAGACTGAAGAAAGTGTCTAATCTGAAGATGGCTGAATAAATGTGAATTTTCAGAGAGTTTCATAAAAGATGCAAAGTTATTATCAGTGAATAAATCATTAAAGCACCTAGTGCTCCGTCCACGCCAATCTTGAAATACAGGATTGCTTGTAGATGGTTAGAAAGGGTCATTTGATGCGATTGGACTCAAACAAGACAAATCAGTCAGACAGAAGTGTTTTGTCATCTGAGCCCATATCCTCACAGTGTGCCAGACCAGCGGATTATCAGATGGCTGTGGAGTGGAGATCCAACTACTGCCAAGACAGATGCATCTTTAACATAATTTAACTCCACCGGCACCCAGGACGCTGAATTGTCCCAATTTTGAAAATGAAACCAAAATATGCTGATCATATGTTAGCTACCCACAAACTGGCAACATAACAATGATTAAAAATGAAAATGTGCCATCATCTTACAGTGACCAAAAGCTAGGGACCACAGCAAGTCTTCCAGGTCCCGATGCAACAAAACAGCCCCACCACCATCTTTTACTGCTGCTATGTCCCTTTTCTGAAACGCTGTATTATGCAGTGTGACACACGCCTTCCAAAAAGTTCAACTTTTGTCTCGTGAGTCCACAAAGTTACCTTTGCTACTGGTCCTGGCTACTTGCAGCAGATGGCCCCGCCCCTCCCTGAGCCTGGTTCTGCCAGAGGTTTCTTCCTGTTAAAAGGGAGTTTTTCCTTCCCACTGTCGCCAAAGTGCTTGCTCATAGGTGGTCATATGATTGTTGTCTGCATGTATTATTGTAGGGTCTACCTTACAATATAAAGCCCCTTGAGGTGACTGTTGTTGTGATTTGGTGCCATATAAATCAAATTGAATTGAATTTTCCCACTTTCCACACAGGGCTGTGCAGGGTTGGATTTCTTCCCCTTTAATAATAATAACCTTTCATTTAGAAATTTAGAAACATTTAAGTGTTACTAACATAGAAAAAAATAGGAAATCAGGAAGGCGGCAAACATTTTTCCCACTACTGTATAATGTTACAGTAGTGTAACAATTGTTCATAAGGCAACATAAGATATTACTAAAATAAGGTAAACTGAAGCTGACGACTGGACATTTAACTTATCAATGACTCTCCAGGTCCTATAACATGTTAAAATGTCCATTGAAACCATGTTGGAAGCATGTTTAGAGAATGGGTTAATGGAACTATCTAACAATGTGTGGTATAGGTGACACAGCCTGTTTGTATTCTGTATGCAGAACCAATTCAAAGTGTAGCACCAGAAATCCAACAGCATGTGTAGAATGTACTTACCCTGTGAGTACAGCAGAATCTGCATCTCCAGCAAGGTGCAGGTGAACACCTGGACCAGGTTTTCCACGCCTAGCAGAGAAAAGGCCTCTGCCAGGGGGAAGTCGGCCAGGGGAAGCTCTCCTGGTCCCGGCCTTTGGCAGACAATGGGTTCGTATATGCCGTGGAATTTGAGTGAACGCCCCAGAGCAGGCAGCGGCACCTCGTACAGGATGTTGTAAACGTAGCTCTCCAGTGGCAAGGGGGGTGCGGTTGCAGCTATAACAGCAGAGTGCATCTGTGCAAGGAAGCGCCGGCAGGCGTGCATGAAGGGCATAGGCGTGATTAGACACAAGGCTTTGGACACATAGAGCGTGTCCCGTGACGAGTCATAGCTCCCCGCTGCACGAGATAAAGATGATGAGGATGATGAGGTGGGGGAGTAACCATCATCTAAACTGCTGGCTAGTGAGTCCATGCTGGAGGAAGAAGAGGAGGAGGAAGAAGCGGCATTTGTTTGCTCGGCATTGTGCATCTGGTAGAGAGTCTGCATGGCAGAGCAGATCTGTGGGCTGGTCACCTCCTCATAAAAGGTGTGAACGAAACCATATGTTCGAGATCCATCCTCCTTGGTGATGATGAAGGAGTGGAACTGAGGCTCGCGCTGGTCTGCCTGTGTCCTGAATGACAAACCTTTGGGCATACAGAGCTGCGGAGAGAAAGGGCAAACAGAAGTCATCGCGTCAGTTCTGATTCACTCACGCTGGAATCTTTTTATGTGTCCATAATCTTTCACTTTTCCAGATCTCATAGGATTTTCAAACACCGGTAAAAATGCTGCTTACATTTAATTCTACAGCTGAAAATCTTACAAGAAAAAGGCAGCGATTCTCTGCATGACCATTCTCAAATTTGAATTTCTGCGGTTTTATGCTTTTGTTTTCCATTTTATCGTTATAATGAGTTCAATAAGGAAGATCTATGGCCTCACATTTGTCCGCTCCAAGGTGCTGCCGGCTAAATCTGAGCTTCATCACTTCCATTCATGCCACGTACTCTCACTGCGTCTTTGTGCAACCCACCTCCTCCCCATCTCATCACTCAAGCTCCATTCAAGCCACCTTCATCTCCACCAACGGCGTCTAGGCTCCAGGGGGCCCTCCCCTAATCCTTTTTACAGCTGGGGTTCTGTTTTGCCGAGACAGACCATCGGAGTATTCTGTGATTCTTTCTAATGATCTGTACTTATTGAACTGATTTGTTTGTTGCTGTGACAAAACAAAATACCTGAATATGTTAACTACGGCACTGAGGAAGTCTTTCATGGCGTCTTATACCACACATCCACTATTTTCAAGAAATGAGGAGAAGATTAATTATTAAATAAATTTGCTAACTCTCTATAGCAATCACGTGTCATATGATTACTTGATCACTTGTTGCTTTCACAGCCAAACTCTATCAGTTACTGCCATCATCAGGTTTACTTGGCTGCTGAGACGAAGGACACACTGTGGAGACAAGTCTCAAGTCACCATGTCCATGCATGTGTACATGCACACAAACTGTTATCCACAATAATTGTTTTGACGATTTGTTGACATTTTGAATTCTCTTCCTTATTGTGCTCTGTGCTGACGGGCATCTAAACAAATATTTAGGCCTGATTGGATTATCCATGGCTCTTAATGAGCAGTTCAGTCAGCAATGAAAGATAATAATATAAATGATGACATCTGGCAAGTCTTGTCTCAAATAAGCATTAACCAGGCTTCAGTACAAGCCTGCAGAATGAACCAGGAAGCAGTAACTATCATCTAACTACGTGAGTGAGGAGCAACACAGGAGATACCGGTGCAGGGTGGCTGTTCATGTAGGAGCCAATATACTTATGAGCTCCACGATGTAGCAGTTAAAGGACAAAACAACCAAATTTAAATGTCTTCCTGTTTATAATACTGATGTGAAAAAGAAATGAGGACAGCAGCAGCTCAACCTATGTGCATGGTTTATTGTTTATGGTACAGGAAAACTGCTGCTCACAGACTGCAACACATCAGAGATCTAGTATGTAAAATGTGGTTTAACTTAAAGAGCAAGAATGGGAATATATACACTAGTATATTAGTATATATGTATACTAGTATATATATTAGTGTAATGTAAAGTTTTGAAAAGTGTGCGATTTCTGTGCCTGCAGAACACGGGCTAATACTCATTTGGCTGTATTTATTCTCTTTACTGACAGGACCATATCCATAAGAAGTGGGCAAACCTCCCTGCCATTTACAAATATATGATTTTCCCTCCCAGCAGAAACCTAAAGAGGAGGAGATTAGATTCCACAGACGGTGAGACGGTAATAAGATGAAGAGATGATGGAGGTATGTAGGTAGAAGAGGAGATTTAAGGCTATAATGATAATGATTTAAAGAGCTGTAATGATCAGAAAACATGGGAAAAGAAAGAATGATATTTCTGTCATTAAATGCCCTTGACATGGCATCATCAGGTTTCAGCTGCTGCACTGCTGCATAATGGACTGTTTCCATGTCAATGTAAGGAGAGATGCGCGGCTGAATTATTTAAAAGATGTGGTGCTGGGTGAGGTGGAAAACAAGGTGTGTGCTCTTTATCCACATGGAGAGTACACGCCTTTGTTTCCATCACGAACACTGTGCTGGTCATGTCTCCTTCATTCCTGTCCTGCTGTCACATGTGGTCCATCTCTGCTGTCTAGGACTACAGTTGGAGATGGTAGGATTTCTTCTGCTCGCAGCAGGTGGAGAACTAGCTGACGGCCCAGTACGTTGGGCTCACCTATGCTTCAGAGCAGAGCAGGGACTGCCATCTTCAAGTTTACTTTTGCATATAAAATGAGAGATTCACTCAAAAGGCAGCTGATTACACTACTTAGTAATTTATTTATATCAGGGGTGCTCAATCCCAGTCCTCGAGAGCTACTGTCCTGCAGCTTTTAGATGCATCCTTGTTCCGACACAGCTGAATCAAATGAATGGCTTGTTATCAGGCCTTTTCCAAACTTGATGGCATGCTGAAGAGGTAATCAAACATTTGATTCAGCTGTGTTGGAGTAGGGATGCATCTAAAAGCTGCAGGACAGTAGCTCTCGAGGACTGGGATTGAGCACCCCTGATTTATATGAAAGCACTTTAAAAATATTTTATTTGCAGAGTAGAAACTCCCTTTAAGGCACATATTTGCATGTGTGCGCATCACCTTTGCCACAGGTTGAATGTAAAGCTATATATTCAGTACATAGCCTGTCCCTTTTAACTTTTGTGTTGCTATAGATCTTCCTAGATGTCTAAACTTAAAAATCTATTATTTCTTCATCTACATGTGATTCGTATCTGTTCATATATGTCTGGTATCTCTATCCCAAATACTGTTTGGCAGTGTGGAACTCTTCTCTTGACAAGATTTTAAAAGACCTAAATCAAAACCATAACTCTGCCACTGTCAGTACAGCTTTAAATGTAAAACTTTTTGGAGGGGATTTGTATTAATTGGTTTGTTACCCACAATTCCTTGAGGCCCAACTGTGTTTTAAATCAAAGCCTCAAAACCTTCTTCCTCTGCCTCTGGCCAAAACCACTAATCTGCCCCATTTCCTCTAGAAATGATCCCATTGGGCTCTTCCCGCCGTACTTTTGATAGAATCCATAGCCTCCTTTATCCTCTGCCTATCATTTCTCCAGAAATCACAGTCCACATACCATGTTAACAGCATCCTGGTCGAATGGGTTCCACTCCACATTTTCTGGATAACGTGCAAGAACTTTGGACTTGAATGTCCTCTTCAGGGGACTCTGCTCAAAGTTTTCACCTGGACAAATGAGAAAGGGAAAATAAAAAGGTAATAATGCATCAACAAACAAAAAATCAAACAACTTGGGCCTGAAGCTGCAGAGTCATGCTCCAGATCAGCTGAGCTCAATGCCAGCCCACCTCAGTTTTAGCTAAACGAATACCCGTTTGGCGTGCTGTTCACAAATAGCAGGATACTGCTTGCTGGTGACTCTGTAGGATGCTTCCCCATGCTTTTTCTGACTTATGCAATGCCATATCTGTTATATTAATGCCTACTTTGTTCTGTGAGGGCTATTGCTGCTAAACTCGATGTTTGTCTGGTGTGCTTGTCATGTATGCAGGTGAAAACGCAGAGATGGGTTCTTTCCCCTCTTTAGAATTTGCAAGAAGGTTTTGGGAGGTTCCAGAAAATAGGCATATGATTTTACAAACACATTACTCCAAATAAAATATCAATCCTAGTTTGAAAAGTGGTCCTGACACAGTTCCAATTATGTTGGACATGAGATACAGAAGTAGAACATAAAGCTTAGCAGAATCAGTAGCACTGGCTCAGTAAACCAAATGGACAGAATATCTCTGTGAGCGACTGAACTGCAAAGCAGATAACACCAAGTTCACACTTGTGCACCTGGAAGCTCTGCAGTGAGCTTTCCTGAAGATGCAATCAAAGATGTTTTCAAAGAGATTATTAAATACTATATAATAGAAAAAACAACACCACTCAAGTGGTTCATAAAGGAAAACAATATATGAAAAACCTCAAATAGAAATAACTGTTCTCAATTCTGGCTAGCTGAGCCCAGTTCCAGTTAACTCAGTTCATTCACAAAGAAAAAAATCTCTATATTTTGGTTATCCTCTGTCAATTCAAGTCTACATCATAGAATGTAAAATACCCCACTTTGGGTTTTTAATCCATGAAGAGAACCCAAAAGAAGGAAATCAAAATCCCAAAAGGTTGATTCAGTTTATCTGGATGTAGCGTTTTCACTGGGAGAAACGTTTAGTCAGTCATCCAAGGGAATTCTTCAAACATCTCCCAGGGCCTCGTCACTAGGCTTTGTAGCAGTTTTCCCGCCACCTTACAGGTTTCTGGCTGACATGAGACTTTTGTACATACTTTTTCGAATCCAAACCTATTCCTGGCCAGTTTATGAATGTTTGCATCCTTTATTAGGCTTTGTATCTGCCAAAGTGGCCAAATGTAGGGTCATCAACTAACAACTGTAGAAGGGTTTCCCAGAGACAATCTGGTATGCAAACCTGAAGCTGTAAGTGTGGAAGCTGTAAGACTCTGTAGGCCTTGTCTTCCAGGATGGTGAACTTGGTAGCCTCAGTCACAGTGAGATTCCCATCATCTATTTTAGCATGGTAAATCTTTTGTATTTTTGCATCATTCTGCTTGGCTCTCCATATGTCCTCATCTGATAATGAAATGTGCTTGTGTGGTTCCCCTTTAACAGATAATGTGCTGGCAACCTGGATACTCCATTGCTGGCAGGGTCACTAGGGGCTCTGGATAAAGCATTTAGCAGTGTTATATTTTCCTGTACTCACCTGTAAAGGTGAACTTCTGCAGATACAGGATCCAGCAAGTGACTGTGCAGATCCCTTTTAGGTTTTGAACACCCAAACCAAGGAGGAGTGATCAGGTATCTCCATTTCTTGAATGCCCACACTACAGTTAGCACTCATTTTCTGTAGTGGAATAAATGCAGGCCATAGGCCAGAATTTCTCTGCATAATCTACTTTGTTTGCACAAACACAACTCCAAGTCCAACATCACTGGGATCTGTATACACCACAAAGGTTAGGTCAGGGTTGGGATGGCCTGAGATATCAGACATCAAAGGAATGCTGACATTCTATGGACTTTGGGTCCTTTTCACTTCAGTGGCTCAGCAATCTGAGAGATACCAAACCCGTGATACCAGCCTGCCATTTCTAATAGCTGGCTTTTTTCATCTTAACAGTGAGTTTTGTCTGCCTTAATTTGTCTAATACAGCCCAAAGATGAAAAAATGCTGTTCTCAGGTTGGAGAATAGATCAAAAAATCATCCAAGTACAAAAAGCAGGTCCAACCTCTGAGATCACCCAATGTTATCTCCATCAGCCTCTGGAAACTAGCTGGCTCGTTCCTCATTTTGAAGGCATAACTTTGAACTGGGAAAGGCTAAAGGGACAGGTGAACACTGTTTTGTCAATGCCTGGACACCTCCTGGGTAACAAAGGAGTTTATTAGTGAGCACTTCTGTGCATCCCAGTCTTCACATGCATACATCCCTGTTTTTATTAAGTTAACAAAAGAAGTGTCTCTTTTACCACTGCTTCCAGTTGGGAGACCTCAACTGCTCTTGGCAGGAGCTCTGCGTCAATGTTACTCTACTCTAATAGAAGCCCTTAGCCCTTACTCCCTATCCCCAATCACCAGGTATGTCCACACTTCCTCCAAAATCAAACCTTTTCTTCTAAGCCAAACCAATACTGGTGATTTTTACTCATCCCAGTAGGATATGCCTGGCACACCTCACTCAGGAGGTCCCCAGGGGTCATCATTGTCAAATGCCCAACAAGACTCTAAGATACCAGCTGAGGCAGCAACTTGTCCTTTATCCAGAGTGGGCACTTAACTCTTTTCTGGTTGAACCATAGTCTCAAACTTGGAGGTGCCAATTCTTACTGATGCTGCTTCATACTCACTTGGCTTTGTCTAGAAATTCTGTCCATAAAAATTTTGAGAAGAAGGTGGAGTCTACTACCCACCAGGAATGAGTCTGACTCGCAGTGTGAACCAAGTTCAATAGCTGTGAAAGGACTGAAAGGTTCGTAGCAACAGGCCGGACACTCTATACTCCTGAAGCATCTCAGACAGAATGCTCAGAGGGACATGCTCGAATGTCTTCTCCAAGTCCATAACATACATGTAGACCGGTCACCTTGTTTCCACACACATTTCAATATCCTCAAGAGGATAAAGAGCTGGTCCTGCATTCTGTGACCAGGACGAAAACTGTGTTTTTCTGCCTGAATCCTAATTCGACTAACAGACAGACTCTTCTTTCCTTTAGCCTGATGTAGACCATCCCATTGAGGCTGCACCTGAGAGCACTGTCTCCAGTCTCACTGCTTAAAGATGGAACCTAACATCCCAGTCTGTCAGTCCAGAGGCACTGCCCCACGTTTCCAGGTGACACTGCAGAGGCATGTCAACCAAAACAGCCCTACAACATCCAGGGCCTTAAAGACCATGGCTACCTCACCCCAGGGACCCTACCACCAACAAGTTGTCTAGTGACCACCCAGACTCTGCTTTTTCTACAGAAGACATTTCAGTTGGATTAAGGGGGCTCGACTATATCCTCATTTGAGGTCAGTAGCACCTCACGCTCACCATACCATGCAAATAGAGCGCCATTTTCCTCTCCCAAGTCACCTGACTGTTTGCCAAAATTGCTTTGAGACAGATCAAAGTCTTTTTCTTTTCCCATAACAAAGTCTTCCTACACCCAAGTTTTTTTTCAGTGATTGCCTGAGCTGTGTTCCACTTGGACTGCAGGAGCCTGCCAGCTGCCTCCTAATCTTACAAGCTAACCAAGCCCGATAGGACTCTTTCTTCTGCTTGATGGTGCCCTTCACATCTGGTGAAGGGCACCATCAAGCCTGAAGCCAAAGCATTTAAGAGTGCTCTCATGGGTACTGCAATATACTCGCTATTGTGCATCAGGGATAACATTTACAACAATCACTAAAGCAACATCTAATATACAAAGGAGAGAAACTTGGAAAAAACTGGCCCATTCTGCTCTCTCATACCTATAGACCAGGGGTAGGGAACTCCAGGCCTCGAGGGCCGATGTCCTGCAGGTTTTAGATCTCACCCTGGGTCAACACACCTGAATCAAGTGATTAGTTCATTACCAGGCCTCTGGAGAACTTCAGGACATATTGAGGAGGTAATTTAGCCATTTAAATCAGCTGTGTTGGATCAAGGACACGTCTAAAAGCTGCAGGACACCGGCGCTCGACACCTGTGCTGTAGGCATTTGACTGTCTACCCCAGGAGATAACTGCTTTACTATAAGGCTGTCAACTCTAAGGCAGAAGAGAAGAGAAGTCAGGCATAAGCACAATAACTAAAAAAAAATCCAAAACAATAACCCGCTTTAGTCATGAAGACAAGAGGGACTGATTTGGATAACAAGTTCAAATAAGCTGACCTACATTCAGCATTGTCAGTTGTAGAATGCAGACAGGAAATGAGAGACAGCGACTGGCTAAGAGGATGAAATGGATTGAAGACTGTAATCCACATGGAGGTGGTGAGGTGATCCACGGGGATCTACAAAGCACAGGAATGTTGGCCTAACACAAACAGATAGGGACTGACATGATTTCTCTATCCCCAAAAGGGCCAAAAGTTTAATTTGAAGCTAAATATGTGGTACGATGCGCCCTGTGCTATGTGGACAATTTCATGCTGGCCTTTAAACTCCCTACAGCTGGTAAATAATATTAACCTAAAACTAAAACTGTGAAAAGATTTAATGGACATAATCATGAATATGGTTTACATAATAAACACATTTTCTTAGTTCTATTCAGATGTGTTTAATTGCACAGAGAAACTCATCATAATTCAGGAAACACAGTGAAGTATGAACAGATGTGCAGAAAGACCAATTCAAACATGCAAACAGGTTTTATAGCTAACGCTGTTAGCATAATATTGCTGATAAGTAACAACTGGTATAATAAGTGGAACTTGCTATACTGAGTTTTCATTCCATGAGTAAAGGTAGTAAACTGGTGAAAGGGACTGTTTGGATCACAGCATTATATGAAGAACATATACAATAATACAAAACAAGTGTCATCTCATCTCACACGTAATTTTTTGGGAGCTTCAAAAAAATCAGACTGCAAACAAAGAACATTACTTTGCAAAATATGCTACAAATCTGTTTGAACTAAAGGTAGAAACAAGATGCTTGGATGGAAATTACTGGTGCAACTGCATGAAAAAGCAGGGCTTTAAACAAGTGGTTAAAAACTTAACCCAAGATACAACATACCAGCAAGATTCTTTTTCAAATTTCTAATTAGTTTAAATTTACTTATTTATTCTATAATTTATTTGTTCTCTAATTTCCTATGTGACAATATTGTGCAGGCTCCCAAAGAGTTACACAGTAAGGGTACTTTAGTTCTTGTTTTTGTTAAACTAAAGTGTTAAGCAGTAATGTCATAGTTTTATTTAAACATTTCGATGGAAAACAGAACCTAGGCTATTTTGACTTATCCCATGTCACGGCGTATACTCTGCCGCTGGCACTGTTTGGTAATCAGTTCATACTTTAAATTAGATCATCTGTCATCAGTGAGCTCTTTGGAAAATAGCTGATTGATGACATCAATAAATGCTGCTGCCTGCAATCACTGAAATTAACAATTTTTAAAAACATATAATTTTGAGGCTATATCACCCACACCTAGTTTATCTAAATATATTTTTAAAAATATTTATTTTAATATACAACAGTCCAGTTTATTTTCCTCATAAGGAAGTTGCTGAAAATTAATACTACATGCAGGGGTGCACATAAGTGGTCCGCTGGCATTTGTTTGAAGCCAGCTCACCTCCTGCAACCACTTTTCCAAGAATACGCGCTTCTTTTGCAGTTCGGACTCCTCCTGACATTTCTGTGGAGGTGGAGGAACACCAAAGTAAAGGAGCTTCTTCGACATCTTTAAGAGCTCTAAACAAATGTCTGTCCTCCTCCAGAAAATCGTATGTACGCAAACGCGCGTTGCAACTTCTTATCTGGTGCGCGTCTTTTATTTTGACAGCACATGCACACCTACGGACCACTGACTATATGAAAGGGTTGACATCACACACACTTAGAGAGCAGTTGAGTGAGAACAAAGCTGGCTTGCAGGAAAATAATGTGAAGTGTAAGCTCAGAATCGAGGAGTACAGGCAGTGTGTTTTACCTGCAGATGCAGTATCTGGATCCCTGCCTTGGCGGTCTGCTTCTAGCCACCGGTGCAAAGCTAGAGGTGAACCACATGCAGCAAGACATGGAGCAAAAAACACAGAAAAAGAGCGCAATGTCATAATAAATGGACACAGAAAAGCAAATTAAATGCATGAAAATGAGGTAAGCATGAACATGACACAATAGATGATAGCATGCCATTAAGGATGCAACACACATGCTTCAAATGGAAGCGGTAACATTGTAAAACGACACTTTTTTCCTAATAAGGACTCGAACATTACAAAACAGAAACAAGAGATTCAACTAAAATGCTTAGATTCATGTTGGTGACCTCTTTTTGAAGCTGTCGGTGAAACTCGAGGTTCAGGGCAAGTGAGCAACACATTCTTTGGAGTCAAACCAAGCAGCATATCCAAAACACAACTACAGAAGCAGCAAGTGTACCATATTTATATTGCAGTCAAATAACTTTACCAGTTTCACATAGAAGAGACCACACAGATGACAGTTCATATCTGTAATGTAAATTTGACAGCGTATAAAAGTGACTGTCTGTTTAAGTGTTTTTCCCAAGAATTCTTAAGAGTGAAGTAGCGCCGATAGACGTGGTTAGTTGTTGTTGATTTACAAAAAGTGTCGCAGTAATTTATTTCAGTTATGGGTATATTTGGTGCTACAGATAGAGGACAAAGAACATTAAGGAAAAGCTACAAAAACATAATCACTTTGACTACACTGCTTGCGCGCTGAAGGACATTGTTGCATTGGAAGTCACAAAAGCCACCCAAAGCGGCTCTGTGGTTCAGTGACCTGACACAATTTATACAGCTGGAGAAAATAAAGTATACTCTCAAGGGCTCGAAGGAGAGATTCTTTGCCGTTTGGGATACTTTGCTAAAACATTTAGAGAAAATTAAAACCATTCCCATCTGATACTCACTTGGCAGCTACCGTATACCCCTATTGTTGTGAAGGTGATTCATTTTGTGCAAACTATTGCCTTTTAAGTGCACATCTTTATATATGGTGAATGTTGATGTACCTCATTTAAATTTATTTTATTTCTTTATTTATTTTTCTGTCTCTCTGGATTGTGTCCAATGTTCTTTGGGTGGGGTACATATATAAAAAGGAGCATTGTGACTTTGTTACACGTATATCTTTGAATTACATTCTTGACGCTCAATAAAAAAAAATAAAAAAAAAAAAAGTAAAAATAAAAATTATAATATATATATATACGACTATATACATATATAATATATCATATATATATATATATATAATAATATAATATATATATATATATATATATATATTATATATACATATATATATATATATATATATACATATATACATGATATACCACTACGCTATAAGCAGCTGGATAGCGTAGTGGTTGTAAAAAAATAACGTTTTGTTTTTTTTTCTGTATTAAAAAACTTGTATTAAGATGTTCCAGTGATGGATTCTCCACAACATTCGCCTTCACCCCCTTCACTGCTCACCTGCTCTGCTTGGTGGAGGCTGTGCAGGGAAGAATCTACAATAGTAGTAGTAGTAGTAGTAGTATTTATTTATTGTCATTGTCAAGAACAATGAAATTGCGTTTGGGGCTTCCATACAACCCAAAAAAGAAGAAAATAATAAATACCCCTTAAAACCCAAGTGTACATATTTAACCCAGTGTGACTCCAATGCAATAAGACAATCCTTAGCAATAATGTTCGTAGAAATTCAGACAAAGACCTGAGAAACATGACAAAATACAACAATGCAACCCATTCAATATTATTGTACTGTGAGATATGATATCAGATATGATAGTTATCTATTTAAGAAAGAGGGGGGCAGGAGGGGGAAGAGAATAAAGATATGATGCACCAATGCAGACCAGTTCATTGCTATTAAGAAGTTGGATATGGTTATTGTCCGTGATGAGCCATTATTTGATTCAACTGCAAACCAGAAACAGAACTAAAACATGCAGAAGAGCAGGAGTGACATCCCTGCATTAGTCATGTGTTCCTGAACAGTAAAAAGAATAAAGCACACTAATGCAATTCACAAAAGGAAAATATATTTTGTTTGTTTGTTTGTACATATTGTGTATATTTACATGTGTGTTTATTTCTTGTGGCAAGTGAACTTCCCAGTTGTGTAATCTTCCTGTGAAGATTTGAAAGATCTGATGTGAAAAACGTCTGGAAAGATCTTGTAAAAGTCAAGCGCAAAATTCACTTTTTTTTTTAACTTTATTGATAAGAGACCACTTTTCATTACTTATAACTCCTGTTTAAATGTTCATTAGGCAAAGATATTGCAAACTCATGGAAATTTAGGGTATTCTATACAGTTTGTTCAATGTTGTCTGACTCTCCAGATATAAATGAAAGGCGGAATTGTGTCTTTAGAGTTGTAAATGCTTGCCTGAGTGTCTTTTATTTAGGTACATTTCTATTTTAAAAATAAAGTAATGACTATTAAAATTGTTCTTCATTACGTTTTCACGTAACTTTGTTATGGAAAAAAATGCCAAAAGGAACCATTGGCCCCCGGGCATCTTCACTTTATAAAATTTGGCTCTCTTTGCAAGAAGTTTGGACACCCCTGAACTAGGCCGTTTGGTTAGCGTGTTAGATTGATGTGATTGAATGTGGATGAGAGAGTCACACAAAAACAGTCTTGTTTGTTTGTTTTTACATACTATGTGCAATTAACATTTTGTTCATTTTCTTTGTTTTAAATTCAAAATTTTAAAAACTTTTCAATGACCTTTAGCTGCTCACGTGCTACAATAGACTGAAGTAGGGCTGCTCAATTAATCTCGATTACGATCTGGGCTTTCAACGATCATTAAAAATGACTGAGCCGATTATTAGCCCCTCCCTCGTGCTTTACTCTCGCGCTGCTCCGTGTGGCAAATCGAGCGCACCTCTCTGCATTTCGAACACGTGTCACAACAATTAAGAGCAGCGGTCCCAACCTTTTTTGCGCCACGGACCGGTTTATGCCCGACAATATTTTCACGGACCGGCCTTTAAGGTGTCGCGGATAAATACAACAAAATAAAACTAGTACCGGTACCGAAAAAAAAGAAAATTTATTCATAACACACGTGAAAAGACCCAGGAAAACCGAGTAAACGATAAAAACGATAACAAAATAACGCTGAAAACCGATAAAAACCCTGAAAACTATACATTTCACACCTGAGCCTCAACTCTCGCGGCCCGGTACCAAACGACTCACGGACCGGTACCGGTCCGAGGCCCGGGGGTTGGGGACCGCTGATTAAGAGGACCCGAGGGAAGCTCGGAAAGCTGAGCAGAAGTTATTTGGAGAGGAGAGTGACTGCTGTTGGTTGAAAAGAGGTAAAAACTTCAGTGGTGTGGAAACATTATGGGTTCAGTCAGACGTGGATCAAGTAGACACAGTGTGTAAACTTTGCTACAGTAGCTGCACCACAGAGCAACACTGCAAAGTTCACTAAACATAGATGTTTACATTTTTCATTTATTTTTTATATTGCAAACATTTGCACTGTTATCAGTATTTGCACACTATTTTATATTATTTTTAAAGTCATTATTCAATACATTGTTATTGTTAAATAAATATCGTCAAATAATCGAGATCTCAATTTCAGTGAAAATAATCGTGATTATCATTTTTGCCATAATCGAGCAGCCCTAGACTGCAGTTCACGCTATGTGCATTTGCTGTTCTCTCTACAACACCATACTCTTATCTGATCTTACTGCTGGAGCATGATCTGTAACTGTGCATCAGCCAATCAGTGACACAGATGCACAGTTACACGTCCCCATCAGTATTATGTAACTCTAGAACATGCGTTAGTGTGCACCGCTGCAGCTTCCTTCTCTGTCACTGTCTATTCTGATACTTGTCTGCTTTTACTGATACAACACATGTGCAAGTACTACTACTGTGTCTGTTTCTTCCTGAAGTTATAGTGCTGAACTGTTGCCTTAATGATCAACTTTGATTATAGAGTCAGAGTAATCTGCTTTTCATCGATCATATCTTTAAAACAAAGCATGAACTGTTTGGATTTTATGACAACTGTAGGACGTTATCTCTTTGTAGAATTGTAATGTAACAACAATGCTACACGTGAATACTGTGTCGAGATCATAGACTTCTTGTTTTTGTCAGTCTTTGGTTATTTTTAGTAGAAAATGTTGCAAAGCAAGCAAACTGTAAAGTCTTTTTTTTTTTTAATTAAAAAAAGGTGCAACCTTCTACCTTAGGTACAACAAACCAAACAGTGAAACGGGTCCTTTCTAATGAAGCTCTAAAAACCAGCGACATCGCCCACAAAAATAGAGAAGCAACGTGAAAGAGACATGAACAGAATGCAGCTTGCACACTTTACAGGTATGTATGTAAATGATAATGAAAAGTTGTTTTAATTGTGTGACATTGTTGTGACATTACACTGAAATAGCTCACAGCATTCCATTGTTCTTCTAATACATCGATGGTTGAATAGAGTCCACAATAGAAGCCCCCCCCCACACACACAAAAAGCATGGATTTAGTGCTAATGCATACACACATCCACTAAAAAGATTTCATTGTATAGTTATTTACAAGTGTGGCCTGTCCACAAAAAGCCATGTCGTCATCATTTTGCATTTTCTTTTCCCCTTTGCATGCTGAGATCACAAGGCCTGAACCGAAAGTCTCTCCAGTCATTCTGTAAAAATCAGGCGTCACTTAGTTCAATCACTGGGTAGTAAGAAGTGGAGTGAACTGTTCCTCTTCTGCCGTGTGACAGGAAAACCACATACACAGTGCTTGCTGCCATTATCTCTTTATTACATCATGGTGCCTCTTTCTGTTTGTTTCTGTTCGCTCCCCTCAGCTCGTGTCCCAGGTTCCCTTCATACAGAAACGTTCAGAGACACACAGAGTAAATACAGCAACAATTAAAAAGTGCTAAAACTGCAGAGCTAAGGTAATATACAGTGGGTTGTGTATATGTGGATTATATTTACATAGTGAACAGAGGTTCATAAAAAC